CCACACGCCACCCCAACAGCAACACTTCGTCACACAAGCAATTCCATCTTATGTGACTTCCTCCTTGACACATTGGTAAGCGTGTCTACGCCCTTACCAATATTTTAAAATTTGAAATCCTAACATATTTGGAGTATTTAAGGCAAAACCAAGGATTTTTTAAACCTGAAGACGTTTATCCTTAAGTAGGTTATTTGCCAGGTCAAAACAACACACATTTGTGAAGTTATGGTCATTTGTCACACCGCTTCGGTGACAACGGAAATGGGTTTGGGAATATGCTAAAGAGGGGGTAGACAGAAAGGAGGGAAACATTCGGGTTGCCCGTCCCCCCTCCCTCCCTCCCTACCTCTCTTCTCCTCATTCCTCTCCCTCCCACTCCCTCTGCTTCCTTGACCAGCGCCTTTTAAACCATCCTACGGAGTGGCTTTTACAAGACAGACTTAAACATGAATAAATGGACACAAACCGCCAAACGACATATTAAACCAGGCAACAATAAAACTCTTCAACTACTTTCCCAAAAGGATTCACTTTTGAAAACCTCTAATGCAGAGAGTTTGGAAACTTCTTTAAACCATAGTCATGCTTCCTACTTTTCTTAAATGAACAATCTAAAAGATAATCTCATGTTTGTAGTCGGTGCTATCGGGAATTAGTTTTTCAACCTACATATCCGACGGATGGAACAAGTTAGACTGTACAGGACTGATACTCTACATAGTTGGATTTATACTGCGATTAATCGTACTGGCACGGCTGGGCGACTCGCAGCTCAGTCATGACACGGAGGCCTTTCACATCCTCACCGACCCAATTATGGATCCCTCACGAATATGCATGGCCTTTTCCCTCTTCGTCTTCTACATCCGACTCATGTATTCCTTCAGCTTCCACATTGCCCTCGGGCCAAAGCTCATCATGATTGGCAAAATGGTGAGACGTACCTTTTTACGTGTCCAAAAGTGATGGCCCTCTTCCTGATACATACCCCGCATTTTAGGATATTTAATGCATACCTGCATGTAGGAGTTTAAAATGGCCATAAAATCAGGCAGATCATCCACAACCACCAATTCACTGCCCCACCCTAGGTAAGGAGGCAGGGCCAATTGCAGAATGCTGCTTTTGAATGTCTTGTGCTCCGACAAGGAGAGACAATAATGGTGACTGACAGCGTTTTTTTCATTTGACAACTGTGCACTCTTATTTCCCGCACAGCCTGTTGTTAACGTCTGTGAAAAGATCCTCCATCTCAGCGCTCTTCGAGTCTTTGAACACATTCAGAGTTTTGTTTAGCAGCAGTAAACAGGTTGACAAGCGAAAACCAAGAATTAAACGTTCTAATCGCTAAGTATATGTGAAGGTAGAGTTTGATCCCACGATGTATCTCCTCCGTCTGTCAATGGACGGAGTGCTTACAAACCTTTAGTTTGCTAAATACAGTAGTTGGTTCTTCTCCTCACCAAACCTATACAGTTAATAGTTTTAAAGTCAACAGAAGCACTTACGTGATAAAATATTTATTTGCAACACTATTTTACGGCCAGAAAATTGAGCTCCGTGCCATCCCCATCACTCCAAGCCAGCGACAATGAATGCGCTTTTCAGTGGTTTCTGCATTTGTTGGTCCGGAGGTTAGACTTTGCCTAGTTTAAAACACTCTAATTTGTGAGAAAAGTTCACATCAAACAGAATTGCGTGACAATTTAAACAGCCTCATATCTGAATGTTTTGAGTCATCGAAAATGGACGAATTCATGTGGGTGGCGAAAAAGTTTGTGTGCTTTAGAGCTCGTCGATGAAACAACAGAATGCCTTGCTACTTCTACTTCCAACTTCGCATTAATAGCCTGGTTGGCCACTGAATCAAGGAAATGTATCATCGACACGATCGTCCAATGGGGAAGGAAGTGTTTTACTAGCTGCTTTACAAAATTAATATTCATTATCAGGAGGACAAATCACAAGGTTGACATTGCCATTTGCCCTCCTGATTAAGAAAAAAATGTTTTATTGTGTACACTCAGGTCACCAATGACTTGATCCCGTTTATGATCATCTTGACGGTCATTATGGTTGGTTACGCCGTCGCAGCTCAGTCCATTGCATATCCCAACGGCTTCTACACAAGCGAACAACTCTCACTCAGTAAGTAACATTGGCAGTGCAGCTCTCATCGTTGGCTCCTTTTGCTTCAAGCCACCCATCGCCATGACAGGGCATCCAAGACACGTCCTTACACATCCAACGCGAGACCTCTGTCTCCTCCACATCCCGACTTTACTGAGTTGAATTAGAGAACCCATTACAATCTGAGTTGAGAACTGTTGGCATGTTTTATTCACTCCTTTAGACGGAACTGTTCAGGGCATGAAGTTTATCGATACAATCTTCTCAATGTACACAACAGCCTACTTCCAAATGTTTGGTGATTTCAGTTTGGACACACTTCAAGGAGAGGGTAGGTTAATTACTTCACCCTTTTGTTAGTCTCAATTTCAAAGTGGTGGATACCTCCAATGGTAAAAAGCTTATGATCCTGACGAAGCCTTTTCAATGATGGGAGGAAATGTGTCAAACACAATCGAACCATCCTCGCTATTCCAACTTTAGACATTGGTGTGATTTTAGTATCCCAAAGGCCGCAGGTCATAATCCTAAATTCCTCTGTTAAGTTCATTCATAGCGTTCTATTGCATTATTTGCCTGCAAACTCATCGACTCCGTCCTAGTGGACCCATGGTTGAGTGGGTAAATTAAGTTCGTCAGAACAAAGGCGGGGTAGAAACTGCAGTTACAAGTTGACAGTCGAGGCCCTTCTTATTCCCTCATGCGGTGATAGTAAGCAGCTTTTGATCACCCTATACGATCCCTTCCCGCCTTCAGATCGCAACTGTCAAAACGGAATGTGTCCAACGAAGACGTCCAGGTGGTTGGTTCCAATCATGCTCGGATTCTACGTTCTGCTGACCAACATTCTTATGTTCAATCTTCTCATCGCTATGTTCTCGTAAGCCGATCCGTTAATAACTAAGCGAATCTTCGTTTGCCTGGTACAATGGGACTGACTTCAAAGCTAAAGGCGAGGTTTGACGTGTTTTTTCGCAGGTTTTGCAACACAGTGGGAAATTGAGACATCTGAGAAAACAGTGGTTTAACTCCGCAGAGCTTCTCTTGGGAATGGGGCAGAGCATTCTTCCGTAAACAGCTATAGTGGGGTTTGGTGTTGTGCAAGCGAGGTCAAATTGCAGCTGAAAGGACAGTGGAACTGAATTTTGCACTTTAGATTATAAATGATTCTCAAAGTACCGTTCACAAAGTGCTCATAAAAGAGATATTAAGGTGCGAAGTTGAGTTCTTCCCGATTTAGCAACGCACGGCAATAAAAAAATAAATCGAATAAACTGACTATAAATTTGATGAGG